GAATATTTCAGCCGTACTATACCTAGCGATCACTATCAAGTCAAAGCGATGGTCGATATTGTATTGACGATGGGTTGGAGCTATGTTTCCATCATTTACGAGGAGAGTAACTATGGTGTAAAGGTAAATATTTAATTATAATATATCTGGTTTTAGATTTATAATATAATATATTTTTTAGAGAATGCACAAAGCTATATATAGGATGTTAAAAAAAAATCTGTAACTAAAAGTGGAAATATCTATCTTTTTCTTGTATTTTAGAGGAAGTAATATGGCTAGATTCACGCGAAATTAATAAACTATATTTTCAATTTCTTATAACAATAAAGAAAGAGTACCGTATTTTTTGTGTTTAAAAATAAAAATTGGAAAATTTTGCAGCCAGAACTCTGTTTAAAAATAATTATAAAGTATAAACTTCTGCTAAAACTAATGAGAAATGTTCATAGAATTGTAATAAATTATCAGCATAATACTTTTTCTACAAGTGTCGTACTGTCTACTTTTATACAGGGTGTAAAAAAAACATTTAGTATTTTTATAATAGACACCGTACTGAATAAAAAAGCCTTAGTAAACATAGAGTGGAAACTCATTTCTGAGATATAAATAATTTTGTATGTTAGTATCGTATAACTTCTTATCTCTTCTATGTGTTGCATACGACGTGAAAAGAGAAAAATTGAAATAAATAGCACTGACAGCCTATTTGGGAGAATTACGGGCCCAATGAGGTAATTTCTCATAATGCCCATCTAATTGTAATGACTGATGTCAATTATGATGTCAATTTACTGACACCCGATAAAATTTTTCATTATAAAATGTATGTAGAAATTGAAAATATATATTAAATGTAAGATCCCTAATCTAGCTAATCTTTATTATGTGCTCTAACTAACCTTGTTTTAGTGCTTAAATTCAATGAATATGGTATTGGGAAATTGAAATTAATGTGCAAATATTAATATTTTAATTATATAATGCTCAAACATTCTTCTTTTTTAGTTGAACTTCACTGATTATCAGTACCAAGTATACCAATGGGTAATTAGTGACTATCCACAGATTCAAATTTAGAGACTAACATATGAAATTATTTAGATATATCTTAGAAATAGTTGAATTTTCGACCTATGGTATTTACTAAAGTTTTTTTACTCAGTATGGTGTGTACTATCTATCATATAAATGCTGAAAATTTTTTCGAACACCCCGTCTATTTTCTATTTATTATTATTCGATTTTGCTTTTCAGATTATCTATAATATGTATACATATACCTATATATACACAATACATAGAAAAAAAGAAAGATATATATAATTTTTGTTGCATAATTTTTTTTTGTGAAAATTTGTTTAAAATGAAATAAAAAGAAAATATTTTTTATTACAACTAAAATATAATATTGTAATTATGGTTAAGTCTGAAAACTATAAATATATATTTAAATATGTACATAAATCTTCACATTGAAAATATTTTTGCTCAAATATAATATTTTACTCTAATATTATTATATAAAATGCCATTCGCAAAGCTTTCAAGCTAAATCAAATATTTGTATATAAAAATACAGTACTGTATAAATGTTAAATGAATTAATATAAAATTGCAACGACTTTTCTGATAAATTCATATCACTGCAGATAAATAATAGAACTTTAAAAAATAACAAATAAAACTAATACACGTTTTATATTATAATGATCTAATTTTTTAAAAAATTACACAGAAATTAATTAAAATATTTAAAAAACATAAGTACTTATTATCTATTAAATAATATTTAAAGAAGCATACTGTTTCTTGTTTAAAACTAAATAATCATTAACATGTCTATAATTTTGCTAATATCACTCTTTCAATATATCGTATCAAAATTGTGTTCTTATCTTTTATAGAGATGCTGTCGACAATAGAAACTAATTTCTAATTTTAATATTTTGCATTTCAAATAGCTGTCGCAATTTTGAATTTCTTGATAAAATTAGATACTAATAACACATACACTGCACAGCGATGTAAAATTAATTTTATGTTGTACATAATACACGAGCTACGTCACTTAAAAATGATTTTATTTTATAAAATAAGCCTTAATGCAACTAAAGTTTGACAAATAAATAAATCGATAAATCGTAATATTCGTAGAAACTAAACGTGTAAGAACGAAAATAAATGGAAAGTAAATTGGAATTTTATTCCCTGTCGCGGTCCATTATAATAATTCACAATGGCGCGTAAATAATTTCAACTCCCCTTTCGACGCCCATCTCTCATCTGCAATCCTGCGAATATTTAGCATTGCATGAAAATTATGGTACCTTTCGTTTGCTCAGTGTATGCGACAATTAAATAACTCAGGAGAAATCGTGAGTCTCGTTAAATATTTCTCTCTAGCAAGGGTAATATTCTGGTCTTACACTGCAAATTTCTCTCTCTCTCTCTCTCTGACTCTCTATTTTTTTTTCTCGTTTTCCCTCCATTCTAAATTGCTAACTTCTTTCTAAATTGCTAACATAAAAATTTTATATTTATATTTCACGTATATTTCAGTGACACGCTTACTTGCTCCCAATTAAGATTATTTTAAGTTTGTGGCAAGTCTATTTTACCGAGTTGTTTGATCTCGTCTAGCAAATGAATTTCACATGAATTTCACGAGCAATGTGAATTTACAGAGAGTTTAATTACGATGGAATGTTTATTGAAAATTTTCTCCTAAATATTCTAAATTAAACAGATTTATATGTATTACCGATAAAATAATTTCTTACAAAAAAGATATATATTGTATGCTTTGCTAAATATTACTTAAAAACATCAATATTATACTTCAAATATTGCTGTATTCTGAATATAATAGAATCGTTATCTTATTAATTGCTACACTAGAAAAACGTACTAAATATTAATAAATATTTTTTTAAATACTACTAACTTAATATTTACTTATAGTGAATAAATATTTATTAAATAAAAAAAATTGTAGTTAAATCAAATTAATGATTTCTTGTACCAAATAAATATATATTCTTATTTAGTAAATATTCCGCTACTTATTCAAACAAATATTTGTTAATATTTACAATTAGTATATTTTTCTCTCAGTGTACTTGCAACTATCATGTTCCTCATTACGTACTCAACTACTGCGATAGTGATATTCATGTAACTCTCTCGTATAACTTTATGCAGCATATAAAACAAGAGTAATTTATAATCATCGATTGCAGGATATTGAATATCATAAATACGGCGGATGTAATAATTTGACATCCTGATTCTCACTAGAAATTAGTACCTACCGATTAGCTTTTTGCATCGAATTGTTTTCCTTGATAATGTAAAGATAGATAGCACAAATATGTTTTCTATAATAATATGCTTTCATGGAAATTGCGTAATATAAACAATTTGCAACGCTGTAAAGAAAATATTTCAAAAGCCAGATTTAATTATATCAAATAAACGTTTCTATTTTTAGTAATTATTAGCGTTATGCTGATTTCTGATAAATTATCCTATGTGAGGAAAAAAACACGTAAATTATGTGATAAAAGTTGGAACAAAAATAACAGAAAGGAAAGAGAAAGTCGTTTATAATAAAGGATTTAAATGTACATTTACAGAAAAATATAATTAAAAAAGAAAACGTTTGTGACTATACATATAATAACGATAAATGTCGAATTAATTTAAATAGACTCGTAGGATGCCTAGTGTTTTATTCATTTTCGATTTGAAAGCTAACACGCTTAATAAATGCGTAATTGAGAAATATATCAAAGTCATGCTTTTATTAAATGAAGAAACGATAATTGACGATCCTACGGTTTTAACATAAAAGCGAGGAAACGCCATCCTCAATCAGTTGCATTCACGTCATGAAAAATGCATAAATGTCTTCGCTACGATACGTTACTGCAAAATATATTTTCCCATGTGTACACATTATACATAAAACATACATGTATGTATCATTCTTCATTATTACTGTAACAGATTCTGTCTTGACATTTGTCTGCAGTCTAAAAAACTAACGCGAAAATCCATCGAGAAATATATTTATTTTTTTGTTTTAATTCTTTCTTATATTTTTATCATAGTTGAATAAGTTGAAAAGAAAATGTTAAAAATAATAGCAATAAATTATAAGATACGTTTATTTGCAATATTTCTGTTTTTGACACTTGAATTTTGTAATTCTTTTGTAATAATTATAATAAATAATATAAGGAAATAAATGTGTTTATTAAGGACTCTCTTTTTAAAATAACAAAAATAAAAATAATCTAAGCTATTAACAATAAGAGTCAGCGCGGAAGGGAGTGCGCAAAAATTTTTTTTAAACAAGTAAAATTGTTACTCCATTTGATGTACAGAATTGTTACTTCATTTGATGTCTTCTTTATTTAAAAATCATGAAAACTCTTGAATATTTCGACTCTCTTTGAAGTCTTCTTTAGTATTATGTTATCCTATACTTGATTTCGTGATCAGTCACGGTAGAGTCACTCATAGGTTGAGTAGAGTCACTCACAGGTTGGGTAGAGACACTCACAGTTTTGGCAAAAAGTGAGTGACTCTATCTTGACCGATCGCGAAATCAAATATAGAATAAGAATATTGCTGAAGAAGACTTCAAAGAAAGTCGAAACGGTCAAGAGTTCTCAAGATTTTTAAATAAAAAAGACATCAAATAAAGTAACAATTTTACTTGTTTAAAAAATTTTTTCCTAAATAAATAATACATTCAGATATTTCTTAATATTAAATGATATAAAATATTAGATATATTTATTATCAATTTAAATAAAAATTTAATTATTAATTTCGTTAGTTAATGATTGATAATAATTAGGAAGAGATTCTTCGTGATTTTTTTTATATTCTCTATTTTTATTCTCATTTTTCATGCACACATTTTATTTACATTTGTAACATAATTTTTGCAAATCCATTGCTTCAAAATTAAAATAAAAACTCACCAATCAATGCGTAGCAGCGGAGTTGTAGTACTGCGTCGATCTGTAAAGTATAAATACTTTAAAGCAGTGTTCAAAATAATCAATACTTCAAAAAGTAATTACTGCATCCGTTAAATTTTTTAATCGTCTTTTTAACAGGTATCTGATTTGCAAATGCTAATGCAAAAATGAAGAAATATTCGCGACCGACGATCGTTGCTAGCTACCGCATATTTCCATTAACTCGTTCGCATAATTAATCCGTGAAAAATTGTGAACGATATTCCGACCGTACAATAAGTGAGACGCGACGTTCGCAGCATAATATCTCTTTTCGTATGCTTGCAATGTTGGCTATCGAAGTTGGCGAAGAATTGCGTCGGTGTTAAATCTCCAGTATCGTATTATACGGTCGAGTAATGGATATCACGTAATGGGCGAATCAAGACGTGCCTGAAAAAGTGGCGAAATCTGCGTATAATAAATGAATAACAATTACTCACCCCACGGTTGCTCCGCCGTCGCCCGATGTCTCCCAGGTTCCTTTTGCGCCTTCCATTGTCGCTTCTTCGTGACGTTCACTTACTGCGACGTTCACTCGCGAAAATATTAGCAGTTATGATCGCGATACTTTGCACGGCACTCCCGATATTAATCTTACGATGCGACGCGAACTGTATTATACGGCGACGGAAAAATAACACAATCTGTATGAACATTACGATCCACATGACACCGACGACGCCATGCCCAGTGAGAAATGACAATGAAATCGATATCGAATCGACGTCGATTCGATATTGATTTGACGCTTTCGACGTCGAATTTCGATTCGATGTCGATTCCATTATAGATAATTTCTCACTGGATGAGATCTCGTAAGTAGACGCAACATCACGCAACTTCTTCTTTAGTTATTAGCTCTTGCTTCCAACAGATTTGGAATGGATTTTGGAAAGTCAATACTTACGGCCAGACCAGAGCAAAACGTCATGCAACGATTGAATCTAACATGGCGGAGAATTCATAAATCGCGCAGCTAACTTCACTCGTCGGAAGCAATTAGATCTGTGTTGTTTTAGCTACAGAGAGAGAGAGAGAGAGAGAGAGAGAGAGAGAGAGTTCTTGCATGGCTCATCTTTCTTTTCTCTTCACATCGAAGAAATTCAGCTAAAAAGAACAGAGCTATTATCGCCGGGAGAACTCTATCTGCACTTTTGTGCAGACTAAATGTGTGCCACTTCCCACATGTTAAATAGCAATACAAAATTATTTTTGCATATTAGAATTTAAACGACATGAAGGAATGTATGAGTTAAATGAGTTATGAAAAACATTCATGGAATATAATATTCAAAATTAATGCTCGTTATATGGCTTTACTGATTGTTTACGCGATTTTGATTAAGTAAATTTTAGATATACATTAACAAATCACCATAATTTACGAACACATTAAATTTTTTCTCAAATATGCGATTAGATAAGAAGTTAATAACGTAAATAACGATCGTATTCACTAATTAAGCACATATATCTCACGGTATTAAGCCCATTCTATAATTACGTAAACGTAGTTGTAAATGGTTGTAGTTGTAAGAATTGACCAATCATTGTCGAATACGAGAAGAATATTCGACTATGAATGATCAATTCTTACAACTACAACCACTTACAACTGTACGCTTACGCAATTGTAGAATAGGCTTTACTCGATTTAGAGTCTCCTCATCCTTTGAAGTTATGTTATATCAAAAAGCAATAAAACGTCCCAGTAAGCAAGAAACATTTTGAAATATTCTAGCAACATTGTAGCAGCGTTACAATGTAATTGCTTTGATGCGAATCAATTGAGTTGACGGTTGAGAAATGTGTGACTGATCATCCGAGAGAATATAATCAAAGTTCAATATTATTACATGCGATATACTTCCGTATATATATATATATATATATGAATTCCACACATGTATGTATAATATTAAATGAACGTAAAATATCACGGCCTTCCGTTATTTGAATCGCTCTACTCGATCAGCAATTTGTGCATTACTCTGCGCTGAATTCCGAAAGTGAGCAAATTACGGTTGATCGACAGAATGCATAATAGCGTGAACGATCGATTCGAATTCAAGCACAGTTAAAGAAATCATTATCGCCCATGTACGTAATGAGACTATGGCTTCTAACGCTCATTCGTAGTTTTCCTGATTCAAAGAGCATTTCAAATTCTGCAAAATATCCATCGTAATGGAAAAGGATATCATTCATTCGACACATTAGCGATTCATTAATCGCGCAAATTAATCAAACGAGATGATTAATCGCTAAATGTATCAGGCAACACATACGTGATTGCTTTTCGAGAAATAATAGGACACACTATGCGACATACGAAGTGATTAGAGTCCTAGAAAATAGAAATGTGACATTGAGAGGATAGGTCTGATTAGCTGTCTAAAACACATGATTTAGACAGCCAATATGTGATCACGACGTCTTTTTTTCACATTGTGTTCACACGCATAGGCTAATGTAGCATATGGTAATGAGATATTACGCCAATAATAGTATTCTTTGAAAAAAAATAGCAGTAACCCAGCCTAATTGGCTTAATGTCGCATCTCTGTTTTCTAGGGCTCTAGAAGCGATCTGTGTGCTGATCTGTACCACAACTTATACTCGGGGTGCGTTCCGTTTGACAGCCACTATGATGCCTGCGAGCACTATTTGTCTTTGTTTAACATTTATATAACAATAATAAACGAAGATAAATAACAAAGATAAAATAATTTTATGAACATCGCAAGTATCAAGTGGAACCCTTTGATCGACATGTAAATGGTAATGCGGCGACTTTGTGTAAACTAGCGCGCTATATGCATCTCGATGTTGCATCGTCACGAAAACAAACGCCCAACCGAACATTTGTTTACCTAAGTTGCCAGTTCACAATTCGCGTACCAACGTTGAAGCAAGCGGATAAATCATTCCGCTTGTCGCGTTTCATCTCAAGACATATAACGATCGCTCTTCCTATCTCATTTAGCGATTATCTCGCGCGATTGATTAATTTTCTCGTGATTAACGAATCATATCCAGTAAGCGTGATGAATGACACAGATATTCCGCGCGATTTAGTCGCTTAAAATACAATTGAATTAAAACGATAGGAAATTAGCGTTATAAATCATTATGTGTGTAATTTCATTATGAATACCTTTCATCGTAATGAGAGATTTCTTTTGTACTGCTTGAATTCCAATATACATATATATTTAGTCTCGCACCATATACAATATATTCCGAATATATTCTGTTCCTTGCATTTCGAATTATGTTGATAAACGAGCTGTTATCACGAACTGTATTAAAATCTAGCATCTATTTTATGAATAAAATTTAGTTTGTATTGATTAATATTGCATTTATGTAAATTAGTCTATTATCTTTGGCCTTTTACCAAACTTTACATGCCGAAAAAAAATGAAATTATGCGACTTTAATCAATTAAAATTTTTTTTTTATATAGTATTTTTTAGTAAGTCACAGAAATTAAATTAAATGTGATAAAAGATAAAACGATTTAGTTTCTTTATTTATTAAAATCACGGAACTTTATCTATCTTAGGATATAAATTTGAAAGAAAAATACATAAAATGAAGATAAATTTCAATCCTCATTTAAAGATTTAATATTGTGAAAAATATAAAATAAATAATTACAATTAATATGCTGTAATATAATTGATCATAAACATTTATAACGCTTATAATATTACAATTATTACGCGGATATGTGATTGTGCTAGAATTACGTATCACGTAAAAAAAGCAAGACGGATCTAATAATTTGATGCGAAACTTTAATATTTATGAGCAAAAAATTGATTTTGTTGTATATAAGCGTACATATACATACGTGAATATGCGCATATAATGCGTACAGATACGTGACGTGATTTAAACTATAAATCTCGTCCTTCGTATCTAGTTATCCGCACAATATTTTCTCAATTTCCAATTATTAGATAATATCGATTATTTTAATTAATATTTTAATTGAGGACAAATTACAATGGATTAACTGAGTACAGGTGAAAAAAGAAATTCCGTTTTAAAATACGCAAGAAAAATTATTCAAGAATGCAATCATATATTGTTACAGCTGACAATTCTAGACGTCAAATTCGCGTGGCCATAGCATTAATCACACAATCATCGCATTTGCGAACAAAATTCAATGATGGATGTGCCCACATTAAATTAATATTTCGCGAGCATACATAGGCGACACGTATGAACGGCGCAGTTAACACGCAGCCACATTTTGATGGTACAGAGAAATAGTATTTCGATCTATTACCTCTCGTAAGGCCGCAATAGCTGGCGACACGATCAAAAGAAAAGACCACCCCTGTTACCCAACCGATCAGAATTTCATTACTGCCTATCATATACGTCGCTCCGTACGTGTCAAGTCACATGCACTTGATAGAATTTACACCACAATATTCTGCTTTCCGAGCGAGAGACGAGGGAAAAACGAAGCATTACGTTCATACCAATAATTAGATTCCTTGCGAAATACGCGGACTACATAACGATCTTGCGTGGTCCACATTATCGGCATGCCGGAGACTAAGAGATTAGATGGAAGTTACTTGAGTGCCGGACGTGTGGCTTCGTGGAAGCTAAAGAGCCAAAAACGATTCCACGATATTTTTGCGCATTAAAGTAATCGTAAATTAGTTCGGAAATACATTCGCTCGCGAACAATAAAATACAGCATTTATCGTTAATAAATTGAAATAAAGGTAACAGAGAAAATAAAACCTCGATATGTGATATCTATAAAACATTTAATTACAGAAAGTATTTATTTCCAAAATACTTGCTTATCTGAATGATGAACTTTATACACTTTTTTTAAATAACGAGAAAAGTATTACGGATTTTTTCCACGGAAAATATGATTTTTTAATCACTTTGTTCACATTCATGCTATTCACGAAGCTTTGCAAAAAGTGACAAAATACATAACATGCAAAATCCATGAAACTTAATAACCGTAAATGTGTATAAAAAATAAAGATAGCTACGGGAAAGCTTCAAAAGATCTTTTAACCTGATAAATATTTAAGAACTTTGAAAAACCTAGCCTGTCCCTAAACTTTCCTCCTCTATCCCCTCGAGATATCGCACTTACTTTTCCATGATTTCTTCCTTTGCTCTAAAATTATGGAATATATCCTACATATATAACGTACATAAATCCTTCACATATAATGTAAAATATTTAAATTCTTGCGTATTTTAAAAATCAACTATATTTCTCGCTTATCACGTTATTTCTTACTACTTTTTATTTATGTTATTTTAAAGGCAAGAAAATCCTGCTGTGAAATTCATTAAGTAAATGTGACAGAGACAAAACTGTTTACGAATAAAGATTTCTCAACATAAATAATTTCAAATTCTCTTACATAATACGAAATATTCTCTCACAATGTTATACTAATAATACAGATAATAATACAGATCATAAATAAATGTTTAATAAAGATTCGAATGTCCTTTATTTCATATCACTAATTACAGATCTAATATTGAAGATATCGCATTTATATATAGATACCAAATTCAATTTTCGTTCAGGAGTCGAAACAAGGATCATTATAGCACACAACATCGTCTTATAATAATAAAGGAAGAATCGCGCTTTGAATATATAATATGTACCTACATAGGAATTTGAAACCACCCTCTAGCTAGGTATTCAATTGCTAATTTATTGAACTCGTGGAACAATAATCTGCATATTGACCGAAGAATAATGTATGCTATCAATACTCAG